CGGCGCCTCCCCGCACGGCGGCAGCCAGTGAGCTCGGCGGGGGCGGCCTGGCGGGGTTTTCCCGGCCAGGTGGGTCCCGGCGGGGAACGGAGCCGAGCCGAGCCGGGCCGGGGCGAGCGGCCTGCGCTGCCGGCATGGTGCAGCAGGAGCCGGCCGGGGCGGCGGGGGAAGCCGCTGCCCGCCCCGCTGAGGTGCGGCTGTCCCGGCGTCGCTGGGCCGTGGTGTTGCTCTTCAGCAGCTACTCCCTGTGCAACGCCTTCCAGTGGATCCAGTACGGCAGCATCAACAACATCTTCATGCGCTTCTACGGCGTGAGCGCCTTCGCCGTCGACTGGCTCTCCATGAGCTACATGCTCACCTACATCCCCCTGCTCTTCCCCGTCGCCTGGCTGCTGGACAAGCGGGGCCTGCGCCTCATCGCCCTGGTGGGCTCGGCCCTCAATGCCCTGGGTGCCTGGGTGAAGCTGGGCAGCCTGAAGCCTCACCTCTTCGCCGTCACCGTCCTGGGGCAAGTCATCTGCTCCCTGGCCCAGGTCTTCATCCTGGGCATGCCCTCGCGTATCGCCTCCGTCTGGTTTGGCTCCCACGAGGTCTCCACCGCCTGCTCCATCGCTGTCTTTGGGAACCAGGTAACAGGGTGGCTGTCCCCAGTCTGGCCAGGCAGATGGGACAAGCCTTCACCAGCCTGGCTGGAGACTGGGAGTGCTAAGGGGGCAAAAACAGGGAGGGGGAAGAGATGCACAAGGCCTTGGCGGGCAGGAGCAAGGCTAAGAGGTATTTACACAAAATTCTCCCCGGGAAATGTGGCTGGTACCTGGAGGGACACAGCTGGGGTTAGGCTGTGGAGTGATGGTGGTGGCAGAAGCAGGTGGGATCTAAGTCCGCAAAGCTGGGGGTAGCGTGGGGGTTAGGTATGGCTTTGGGTGGTGTTTGGACTCAGGGTCTTCTCCAGTGCCTTGCTACTCCCGTGTCTGCAAATCTCCAGTCCAAGGGTGTGATTCAGAAGCCCCATGGATGGGCTGGAGGGGAATGTGAGGTGCTGAGAAACACACTTTGGGCAGAGTGTCCTGCAAACCTCAGATCTACAGCTGCATCTGGACTTGACGCTGCAATATCCTCCTCCTGCTGGCAACAAGGTGGGACAAAGGCGATTAACTGTCTACTGAAAAGGGTACTTGTCACTGGGCCCTGGAGGAAAAGGACTCTAGCACTCTCATACCTCTTAAAAGTAGGTATAGAGTTTCCACAAGCAGTTACTTTGAAAGGAAGCAAACCTTCCATCCTGCTAGGGCAAGGTGAGCTCCCCGAGCATTCTTGTATTGAGGCGGGTCAGGGAGGCCAGTGACCTGCCCTTGCTCAAGCTGTGATGGTCTTGTAGCTAGCTAGCACTCAGAGGAGATAAATTTTTCCACAGCTTTGAAAGAATGAGGGAAGTAGCTTCTTGACCCTTGCACTGGAACACCCACTCATCCTTGTGGCACGAAGCAGATAGACCAATACTGTAGTGTGGCGTAAGCGAAGTGAGTCTGGCTCTGCAAAGCTGATGTGAAGAAGAGGGAAGTAGAACCTGGCATTGGCTGCTAGGCTGGACCTGTGCCCTGGTCTGTCTTTAGTTCAGCCTTTGGGTGCTCTTCGGATTTGAATGGTTTGTAGTTCAGGTGGTTTCTTAAGCATGGTTTTCCTCACAGATAACTTTGTGTGCAGTGGGTTTGAGGTCTCCTTTCCTCGCATTCCTGGATTTTTGTACTTTTATTTAAATACTACTCGGGCGAAAAGAGGTGAATGCTTGGAGATGGTGTTTGTGGAACAATGCTAGGGAATTCAGAAGATTCTGGCTTATATCTTTTGGAAAGAGAAAACATCTTTCTCCGAGTGAATCTTAGCTTTCCTCTTTGCTCTAATCACCTGGGCTAGCGGGTTGGTTTTTACGTGTTTTAAATGAATCTTTAGAGTGGAAGGCATTTAACTTGGCATGAACACTCTGCTGCTTTAGGAGTAAATAAGTAACAGCGTTTTGCTGTCAGACTTTTTTTTTTTTTTTAATTATTCAGGTGAAGTTACTCAACAGTTTGCCTTAAGAAATCCAAACAATGAGGTTTTCAGCCTGTTCTGTATGAGAGTATGGTATCCTCATCGTTCTGAAAGGAGCAGGTTAGTCTAATGGTTGCGAAAAGCAAACTTTGGCTATGCTTTTGGTGTTCCACACTGCTCTGGGGGCTGAACTGACATAGCAATGTGACCTCAGTTCAGTACATAGCCCTTCTTTGTAAGCCCAGACTTTCCTTTTAGAGAATTGGAGAAATCAGAAATAGCAATGGCTAAAGACGGGGCATGCTCCATAGGAAGGACCTATTCATTCCCTTAATTTCATTCTCTTAGTTGAGGATCCTGAGGTGTGTAATCATAGTGGATGAGAAGCAGCAATTTTGTTTAGTGGTGATGTTGGGCAGGGGAAAGAAATAGAGGCATTTTTTTTTCCTGACTCTGCAGTTAAAGACTGTGTTTTAGGGAGCAAAAGGTATAATACAGTGGGTTTGTAATTGCTGTGTGCCAGTATGGCAAATTATTCCCTACACTCATTCCTCTACAAATGTATGGTTTTCCTTTCCTTGCCATGTTACTTACTTACAGATCTTCAAGGTGGAAAACTCTTGTCATGAGTTATTATCACGATTATTATTGTCGAATCCCAAGCACTGATAGGAATTAAAGTCAGCTACGTGGAGGATTGGGGCAGAGTCACTGCTGCTTTGTTTGATACACCTGCCCTCTTTCTGCCCCTGCCCTCATGGCCTTTGCCAGCACTTGAGCAGTGCTGTCCTGAGGAGACCCTTGCCTGCTGGTTCCTCTAGGTCTGTCAGGGCGATGTCTGCTTGGGACACACCACTGCTGGTAACCTTCAGGTTCAAAGTCAGCCCTGAACAGTAAATCATTGAATCAGTCAGACTGAGTATTAAATATATTTTAAAAAACAGTAAAAACTCTAGTAGAGTATCAGATTCTTCTCGCTTGTTCCTTGTCATGCATTGGCTGTGGCACGTGAAGTGCAAAGAAGGATTAAATTGAGCACTCCTGAATCAATGCTGGACAGCTTCTAGAAGAGAAGAGTGTGGACACATTCTCTTGTTTACCCACTGCTGGTTTTCATGATGTTTTACTTTTTCCCTTTTTTAACAGAGAGATGCATAGGTTTTTCTGTTTGTTTTTTTTTTTTTTTTTTTTCCTCTTTGTCCCTGCAAGTGCATGTATAGGGAGATGTAGAATGGGGTTATTTGCAAGTTGGATACTTTGGCATTAAAATATTAGTAGCATCTCATTGCTTAAAAGACTAGGGGGAAAAAAAAATAATCTATGTGGAGACTTTTCTTCAAGCTGAAGTTCTGGAAGGACGAAGTGTTTTGGAGAGTTCACAGATGTGTTTGATTATTGGGAGGAATTTGTCTGACATGCTTCTGAAATACAGTCATCAGTAGTAGTGTGCCTGTTAGGTCATCATCAGTGTCATTTGTGGAGGAGCTTGGCGCTGGACATCTCTGTGAAGTCTCATGCACAAGAGGTGGGTGGGAGAGAGTGCTTTGCGTAAGTCCCTGCTGCAGGGACTCAATGCTCCATGGTGGTATATTGATCTATCAGACAGTTCCCTGTCTGGGGCTGTGGTTCAGACCTGACAGGCTGCAGCAAAGGGACTTCTGTGTCAGAGGGAGACTGTCCCCTCATTCTCCCTGGTGACAGGACCACAGTGAGAAGAAGCAATGCTTTCCTGAGATACCAGCATTTGCAGGAGCAGGTGCTTGCTGGAGCAGCACACGTTGCCTCCTCTAACATACTTGCTCTCCTGGCTTTTGGGGATGAAGAAACACGGTGCTGTGGCATGACAAAACTAACGCAGTGGTGGGGATGTTTAGGTGATGAGTTCAATTCTCATGTTTTTTTGAGACTTTTGGTGGTCAGGGCCCAGCTCTTTGCTTCTGCTGCCATGGTGTGGGCTGGAATGCTGTGCTGGGGCCAGGCTTCTCCAGGCATGTTGGTTTTAGGCATATCTCTTCCTGCTGTGTCTCCCTGTTCTTGCCTGATGAACATGGGACATGGGCAGCAGGCAGGGAAGTGTATAGCTGTGTTGCACAGGGGTGAGGAAAGAACCTTTGTGTTTGTTACTTTGTATTGCTTTGCCACTAATATTGTTGCTTTTTTTGTTTGTTTGTTTGAAATAGACTTTGTGTGGCTTCTGCCATTCTGACAAAGAGAAACTTTGTTGGGAGTAAGGACTCAGGCACCTTAGACCATTTTTCTGCTGTAATTTTGACTCTTCATTTTTTAGCAGGGGTTGCTGAAAGATGTTGATGGGGTTTGGGAGGAGAGGAAACTTCAGCTTCGTATTCATCTCTGCCTCTGGGGAAAATGATGGAGCACCTGACTGACCTTCAGGTGGGGTCTTGTCCTTGTTCTGATGGAGCTGGCACATGAATTCAGAAATTTTGGGACCCTGTAAGAGAAATGGCCTGAGGCAGAGCTTTTAGGTGCTATCTGCAGACTGCTGAGCCATGGCTTTTGAAGTGGACAAAGTGGATGATAAAATGTGAATGACACTCAGGGAAACGAGCTCTCTCTCCCTCTTGGTGGGTCCTTTCCTCTTGTTCTGACCTGGGGGAAAGAGTCTGCATGAGGTAGTGGGTGGGTGTTGCAGAGTAATTGGGTCTGCAGCATCTGAACGGCTTTGGTGCTGGTGAGCCTCCAGCCCTGTTTGTGCTGAGCACATGCTGCTCTTTGATGCCTCACTGCTAACTCTGTCCTGTACCTTTTGCCCTTCAGGGAAGGCAGGATGTGAAAATCTAGAAAGTGTTGTGGAAATGGAGCACGCCCTGTGGAATTCCTGTCTTCAAGTGGACTTCTAGCTCTCTTTGGCTGTTCTGTCCCTGCTGGAGGCTCCCCAACTCTTCAGATGAGATTTGATCCCTATTAAAAATGAGGGCAGGTGGTAGTCTGACTTGCACCCTTCCGTGGCTTGGTCCTGTATCTTGTATCTCCCAGGGTTTTAGCTATTAGAATAGACAAGATTTTAGCCAGGGACGAGAGGAGCTGGTAGTGGCAGTAGTTAATGATTGACATTCTCCAACCCTGGCTCCTTTCTCTCCCTGTAAAGAAGGGCAGGGTGGATCAAGCACTTGGATCTGACTATGTGGTCAGGTCTCAGAGGTCCTGGATGCAGCTCAGTGTGGGAGGGTGTGCTGACCAAACAGCAACGTGGCTTTCCCAGAAATGCCTAAGTTTCTATAAACGGACACTGGAGCCTGAAATTAACTTTTTCTACTCATTTCATCTGGTGCTCCCTTGTCAGCCATACACCAAAGGCTGCTCCACCTTCTCCCTCACAGAAGCAGTTGGCTTTTGGGTTATGTTCTTTGGAAGTTGCATAGGAGTTAAATGAATGACTGCAGTGTTTTTTGCTGGGAGCGGCTGCCTGTGGCACCCTCAGTGCTTGCCCTGCAGGATCCCCTGGGGCTGGCTATGTTAGGTGACTGTAGGAGGTCTTTGACCAAAGTATTATATCCCAACTGAGGATTCTAGCAGCAGCTGAGGTAGCTGTCAGAGCTGAACCCCCTCTTCTGCTTCACTCTCTCTTGTCTCCTGC